ATTAATTTTTAAAGATATTAAAAGAGCTTTTCTGAGGGCCTGCCCATTAGCTCAGGTGTTTAAGTGCCTGCTGAAACAAAGCAGTAAGGTTCAGGATGCTGTGGTTCAATCCCCTCATCCTCAAGCCAAACCAGACCTGCCCTGAAGGCATCCTGAGTGGCTCCAAAAAAAAAAAAAATCCTTCTGCCATTTAAGGCCCGGGGAGATGGCTCAGTGGAATAAGTGCTTCCCCGGCAATCACAAGGGCCTGAGTTCAGTCCCCGGTTCTGCCCCAAAAAAGCTTTTCTTACAAGTTATGGTGTGATAATGTATATATAGAATGCCTAAATAAAATATGTACTCAAGGGGCCAGGGAGATGGCTCACTGGAATAAGCGCTTCCCTGGCAAGCGCAAGGGCATGAGTTCAATCCCCAGTTCCACAAAAAAAAAAAAAAAAAGTACTCAAATTACATTCCATTACGAAAAGGAGATGTTAACATACTTGTTTGTGTATTGATATTGTTGTTAAACTTAAATGTGACTTTTAACAGCCTTATACTACTTTGTGATACACAGTATTAGTATTTAGTAGATGTATATGTTGACTTTATATAGCAATATATAGTTCCTGATAATAGTATTAAGTACTATGAAGAAAGTAAGACAAGGTAAAGGAGCACTTCCTTGGGGAGTATCTCTCTCTGAAAATATTTTAGTAGTCAGTTATATAATGTAAAGGTACAAGCCACACACAGACCATGACAGAGGGAACAGCAGATAAAGTGGCAATAATTTTGGCATAGTAGCACAATAGCAAGAAGGCCAGGGGCCAGGGAGATGGCTCAGTAGAATAAGTGCTTGCCTGGTAAGCACACGGCCCTGAGTTGAATCCCCAGTTCCGCCAAAAAAAAGAAAAGAAGGCCACTATTGTTAGAGTAATAAGCAAGGGAGAACATAGTGGGTCGTGAAGCAGGTAGTGGTCAGTACCTGATAACCATGGTGATGAGTTTGGGTTCATTCTAAGTATGATGGAAAGGCTTCCCAGGGTTTTGAACAAGCAACGAGAGCAGAAGCAGAAAGACTATTGGAATTCTAGATATAGATATGGTAACATTAAAGAGGAATAGCAGTTTTATTCTTAGGGATTAAGTGTGGAGACAGGAATGAAGGGTAATGTCCACATTTTGTGGCTGAGCATTTGGGTAATTGGTGATGCTACTTATTGTGATGAAAAACAGTAGATAAACAGGTGTGTAAAATTAAATCAAGAGCTTTGATTCGTGCCCATCTAGCTCTTTCTTTGGTTTTTTTTTTTTCTTTCCCTTTTTTAATTAATTAATTATTTGGTATAGGGTCCCACTACACAGCTAAGACTCATATTGATCCTCCTGTCTCAGCCTCCCCAGTGCTGGGATTACAGGTGTGTGTCACTATGCCTGGTTTTGATGGCCCACACAGTACACCTAGTGTTCCAGAGCTGGTGTAGCATGTGGTACCAAAGATCAAACTCGGGACCTTCACTTAGACCATCCAGCTATCTCCCCCCAACCTTTTTTTTTTTTTTTTTTGAGACATGGTTTCAGTATGTAGTTCAGATTGAACTGGCCACGTAGCCCAGCGTAACTTTGAACTTGAGTTGATTCTGCCTCAGCCTCGCAAGTGCTAGGATTACCAAAATGTACCACCACACCTGGCTTCCATTTAGCTGTAAAGCAGTTGATTGTACCTATCAAGCTCAGGGGTGAAGTTTGGGCTGAGATATAAGTTCAGGAGTTGTCATCTGTATGGCTGGATAGAAGGTACATAAAGTTGTGCTTTTAGTATAAAAGAAGGGAAGGAAGTATTAAAATGAAGCTAATTATGAATCAACATTTTTCCTATATATATTTGTTATACTGTCTGGTTTGAATGACAGGAAGAAACAGGTGAAGCGTGGGCAGTCATTAGAATGTTCTGATGAAATGATGATTGAAACAAGGATGATAACCCTGTATAATGTTCAGTAGTGTGATTATTCATGTTTTAATACTGTGAATGCATGTAACATGTTGATGTTTTAATCTTCTAGTTGTAAAGCTCCTCTCTATGATCTGGCTGCTCATGAAGACAAAGTTCTAAGTGTAGACTGGACAGACACGGGGGTAAGAATCTCTTAGTTATTTGGTGAAAAGTCAAACATAATAAATCTGGTATTTGTGATTATAAAGGCATTCATTTCAAGATAATCTAATTTTTATAATTCTATAATAAAACTTCACTTTTTTCAAAGAAGAAATATATCTGTTCTTTAGTAATAGGAGTAGTAAGCAATCTTTTCTTGAGAATGTTTTTCATTGTCTTTTTGAGACAGGGTTTCCTTATGGAGTTCAGGCTGGCCTTGCACTCACTTTGTAGCCTAGTTAGGCCTTGAACTCGCAGTGATCTTCCTGCCTCAGCCTCCCAAGTGCTGGGATTACAGGTATGCAACACCACACCTGGCTTTTAAGACTGTCTTAAACACTTTAAGTCCATAAACTACTTCAGATT